AACACATTGTCCCGTCACGTTGTGACCATTTTATATATACCAGACTACCCCCAATCTAGTAATCTCCCGACAATTCACGAAGGTTCGAGAAAGAAGTGGCGTGATACTATTCACGTGACCTCGCTGACGCAACACTGCCCCTCCTTAGTATTGTTCGTCCCAAACAATAGCCACTTGCATTAAACCAATAACAATTAACAATAACTTAATTAAATGTACAGAATTACAAACACAAAATTACAATTCAACAAAATCTCTTAATTTTACGGGACGTATCTTCTTCCGTACTGGTCTCTGTCTCGTTGGCTTCTGCTTCATATGAGGTTCATCTGCTTCATCAGGAAATGTTCTATCGTCGATAACAGTCACATCAGTGGTAGTACCTTCATCAAGAGCTTCACCGTTTCTCTTCTCAAAATTGAGTAGAGTTTCTTCTTTGATGGTGGCTTCTTCAGGTGGCACGTCTTCAGCAGCGTCATTTGTTCTGTTGTCCACTTCATCCCAACTGAAATGTCCTGGACCGTGATAACGCCAAAGCATGTTGGCATGCGCCACTTTTGGCTTACCTCGCCGACGACATTTTACCTGGAAAGTCACGTCTGAGAGATGATCCACTATGTCATATGGGCCTTCTCATGGAGAAGACAACTTAGGAGACTTCCCTTTGTCTTCCTGGGATTATACAACCACACCTTGTCTCCTGGTTCAAAGCTGACTTCAGTAGATCTCTTATCATAAGATAACTTCATCGAATCAGCAGAAGTTTTCAAGTTTGAATGCACTTGATGGTGAATGTCATCCATCCTTTCCGATAACACTTTCACAAACTCTGACACATTCTCAGGCGACTGTTCATAAGGTGGGCGTCCTGTTAACAGATCCACAGGCAACCGAAGTTCCCGACCAAACATCAACTTTGCTGGAGTGTATCCAGTGGTTTCATGCTCTGCTGTCCTATAGGCCATCAACAGTGGAGGGAGTAAGACATCCCAGTCATCTTGGGGGCTATTACTAAACTTTGCCAATTCCTGTCCCAGTGTCCAGTTGTACTTTTTTACCATCCCATCAGACCGTGGGTGAAGAGGCGTTGTCCTGGTCTTTCGGATGCCAAACAACTTGCAGCATTCTTGGAACACAGCTGTTTCAAAGTTACGGCCTTGTCTGAATGCAGTTCATATCTCATACCAAATCTGAAGAAGAAATCACTAATAGCCGAAGCTACAATCGTAGCTTCCTGATTTGTTATGAATTTCGCGCAAATCCATATGAGGGCTATCTGCGCTAGCCGTCCCTAATTTAGTAATAAACGTCTAGAGAGAATAAAGCTACTCATCACCACCCACCGCCAACTCTTGGGCTACTCCTTTACCAACGAATAGTGGGATTGACCGCACATTATAACGCCCCCACGGCTGAAAGGGCAAGCATGTTTGTTGGGACGGGGATTCGAACCCGCGTCTCGCAGATTGCGAGTCGAGCGCTTTAACCATCTGGCCATGTCAGGCCAAAAGAAGGAATAAACTGACACAAAGAAAGCACCTGGATTCCAACATCAATTTGCTTTCTATGTTCTCTGATAGCATTAGTCAGCTGTCCCATCTAATTGTCGTTGAAGTCCAGCCTGCAAAAGATATTCCAATTCTAGGTAGTTTAACACAGCTCAAAATATATTGAAACTTCGTACTGCCAAAAGACAGCTTATGAACAAAGGGCTAAGACAACTAGAATGGGATAATATTAGACACTTAGGACAATGTGTTTCCACTATGACAGTGTGTAATGAAATATATGTATACCGATATAGATGGGAGGGGACATGGTATGCCACAAACGTATAGGATAGGATCAGCTAGAGACAAGCAGATTGGTAGATTTTTTAAGCATTACGTGGATAATTACATCCTACTAAGCACAGAACAGAATCAGTTATGAGAAACACAAACATATACGTACTTTTTTTACAAGATCTAGGCGAGTAATATAATAAGAAGCGACAAACAAAATACTTAATCAGTTAGTCACACAAAAGATTCACAGGTTTTGCTAGCATATATAACTACAGGCAACATAGAACAGGAGGTGATCAGCTAGAGCCACATATGTAATTGAGTTATGAAGCTGTATTTTATAATATTTGGTTAAAATCGAACATTTGTCTCAATTTGGAGCACATCCATTAGAACAAAAGTGGGGTACGTTCCCAATTTGCCTCACTGGACGGGGAAGCATATCGGTTGAACCCTCTGCTTTTACTCTTTAAAAAGATACACAAAAAGAAGATATTTTTGAAGTGTTCCCTTTGTGATGCTCATCGTTTTAATCGTGCGGTTCATAGCATTCTTTTTTTGTATATAATGAATATAGTTTCACCTATTTACTCCATGGTTTGTCTTGACAAAATGCTTTACACATATGCAAATACATAAGTATGTATATACTTAAAACATAGTATACAGTGTGCGATGGTCAGGGTGACTCTGTATTAAGAGGTAGCGACCAAAGTGGTGGCGGTAGGGGTTCTTTCTGTTATCCACTTTCAACACCCAACTTTAATGTTCTTCCGCAGTGTTTCGCGTAATTAATTAATTGATAATCATTGGTTGCAGAAGTGTCTTATGGGTCGAAGTTGAAACGTCACGGGTCAAAGTACGAAGTGGGTAAAACCCAAGATACGGTTCTTCATATTATCCTTATGGTGGGTGTTGTAGTAGAAACTTCTTCTGAGTTTATGTGTTATTGCAACAGTGGCGGCCATTTCTTTCTCATTACATTCCTACATAGAGAGTGTTAGCGCACTCTCTGACATATATAAGGCGTTTGTGTACCCTCCCCCACACTTTGTATGTTGAAAATTGAATTAATAAATTTTCTGTAAGAGCGTGGCGCCATCTGTGTATGTAGTTAACGTTAACTTACGTCAAAGATAAAAAACCTTAATAACAGCAATATTGGGAGTGGAGCGTGGCACCATCTGTGTATGCAGTTAACGTTAACTTACGTCAAAGATAAGAAACCTTAATAACAGCAATACTGGGAGTGTAGATGGTTGAAAGCCTGCCATTAACATGCCCATTGTCCCAAACTATCATCCTTCAAAGTTTGGTTGGGATTGGCTCAGCAACCTAGGAGTAGTTAGATAAGGGACAAAAGGACATGCACACAGATTTTGGTTCTTTATATATATAGAAAACCTTAGGTATATAAAGTAACGAAGTCTGAAGGTCAAGATGTCATCATTGGCGAACCAGTATTAACGTATACAGTCTCGCGTGAAATAGACTTCAAAGTTCTAATTCTAAGTTGCATCCTCGATCAAACAGGTTACCTGAAACAGCTCACGGTGACTAGAATATCTAACATTTCTATGCTTCTTTCAAAAGTAATTACTATTTTATGTAATATTATTGTGCAAAGAAAATTATCTGTGCTGTACTCCCCTCCGACACACAGGGATCAGACGTTGAATTTTATCAAAACAAGCCCTCACACTTACCGTTAAGTCACTGGAGGGCTTATCGATGGCATCCGGACAAAATGATTTTAAACACTAATCTTTGTGACATTTTATACCCTTTCGTTAAAAACTATTAAATTTTAATAGTTTTGACCACATTTGGGAATTAGTTACAGAAAATATTCTTAGAAAGAGGAAAATACAAAAAATGAGTTCTAGATGTAACGAATTTATTGATACTTCTATATTCTAGTGGGGAATTGTAATCTAAGAATTTATAGAAACATTAATTAAATTGATAGTATTCTGGATACTAGATAAAACTAGAATTGTTTTAGCAAACATTGATGATAATTTTGTTAATACTAAGACTTCAAAAATACAGTATTTAAAATTATGATTGCCATTATAATAATTTGTTCTCTACCACTCTGTTAATACGGGTGCAGCCACATATAAAACGTGGGTGAAGAGAATAACATTGTTCATAATTTTGCATAAAAAATATTTGCTTGAACAAATGTTATTTGTTATTGAGTTCTTAAGTCTTGTACATAACCTTTGGTGGGGTAATAATAAATAATGTAATAATATGTTATGTTATAAATAAATTGTGTGACAGTTAGGTTTCTTGTGTTCTATATATAGCATCCACCCCCACATTATTAAGTTCATAAACCGGACAAAAGACGGGTACATCAGCTTGTGTGGTAATAGATTAAAATAGAGTGACTGTAACATCAGCTTGCATTATTAAAGATCATACTTTTATTTACTATAGGTATTGGCGGAACCAGATTCATCTCGTTTGAAGATCGCAATTGGCACAATGAATGCTTCATATGTGCCACATGTAACGCATGTCTTGTAGGCAAAGGTTTCATCACAGACGGGCCCGATATCCTGTGTCCGGAGTGTGCTAAGCAGAAACTAATGTAAACAGTGTAATCTGTAAAACGAAAACAACGAACGACATACCAGTTCTTAAGGATGTAGTCATATGAACAAACCCATCTTATTTAAAAGTAGTTTAAATAATGATATTTTGTTACCCTGATCCTTTATGTATCGATAATTTACATTAAACGTTAAAAATATGTATCTTACTCTACTTTCTATGTTGGTAAATAAACGATACATTTCTTTGTTAAAACCTCCAAGTTAAAAGTGTAACCAACGATGAGAGAAATACACGTTGTTGTTGTTGTTTTTTCTTTACTTTTTCCGAATATTGTTTCATTACAATTATTTCATGTTTTAGTTCATTATCACTAGTTAATGTTTGTTACTGAGAAGCACGAACAGATAATCCTCGAAAGATAAATAGATTCTAACTTACCGAATCGGTATATTATTCTCACAGGATTATGTAAAATGAACTAGAAAGAAATGTACTGTTCTTATGTTATAATAAATTGACAAACAATGATTTATACGTACAATGAAATGGGTTTATTTTAGTGAACATACTGTGTGTTTCGACAGAACATTGGTCTTTCTTCGGTTGAAACATGAAGTATTTTCCCTAAAATCAACCCACTTCATTATACTTATAAATCATTGTTTGTCAATCAGCATAACGTTCTTCCATACAAAAATATTTACTAATGTTATCATATATTGTTATAGACCAATCTCTTGGCCAATGAGACCTGCTTATTACAGAAATGGCTTTCCTAGTCATTTGTGTCAAACCAAAGAAGCTTTAAAATACAGTCAAGTCTTTATCGTATCATAGTTGATGCAGTGGTTTCCATTCAGATATATAAACTTAAACAATTAAGTATTTGTCGTATCATAATTGACGTGGCGGTTTTCATTACCTATTTAATTTTATGTTTGAATACAGTTTTAAATATTTCTGGAAAGTAATGATTATGTCAAAATCTATTCTATGCACAAATGCTTAGGACTAAAGTAAAGATACTTCCAGATCCATGACTAATATAATTCAGTTTATCTAAATTAACACTTTTGTTTGTCTCAGATTAATAGCTTAAAATAAGTAGATCATCAAGGAAAGTATAACATAATTTTAAAATTTGCAACGCAGAAAACATTTTATTATTTTGGTAAAAATGCTAATATTTCTACTCTCATGGAAGGTCTTTCCAATAGAGCTGTTAAATTTAGTATTATTGTTCTGGATACCATAAAACTATTGAATAAAAAAACAAATAAAATAATAACAGACATTCGTACAGGTAAATTAGAATTTGACAACATTATACACTACACAAGTTATTGAACGCATATTCTAACCTCTTTTCGGAGAGAGAGGTGTGGCATCAGACTTTTCAACGGTTATTCTTTTTAGCTCCGGTCATGTTAACTTGTAATCGTTAGTTTCATGTTAAGAAATTTTCTAGTATAATTTCAACTGGAATTTTCATTGTAACCTTTTATTAAATAAAGTATGAAGATAGATATAAAAAGTGTGATCTGTACCTGGTTCCAGTAGAAAAGAATGGGGTTTGAGACTGCTACAAATATTTACGAATTCTAGCGTTGTAAGTCCACAGACATACCCCTGTGCCACTGGAGGGCACTAAATATTCAAATATAATACAGCGAACTAACTTTCATATATGTTTTTCTTTTCAAAATCCGCATTTTAACAGATATAACGTTTCAAACACCTTATACCTTGTTGATCTTAACTTAAGACTTGTGTCTCACTTCCATGTAATTTATGTGTTATATCTTGTTTAAAAAACCTTGAGTATGCTGTTATTTTCAACGTTTAATTATTACCCTAACTAAAAGTTAGAAATTCAGTTTTCGATAAACAACAATCTATTGATGTTACTCTTAATTTGTCTATATGAAGAGTCTCTTCATTTAGCACCAACAAAATTGATGAATAAATATTTGTTCTTTATTACTTACGAATGGGGGTCTTCTATATTTCTGTAACAATATTTGGCATATCGTTGTCATCTCTATATTTCAGCATTTAGTATACCCTGTAATATAATCTAACTGGAGTTGTTTAGTTCAAACTACACTCTTTTTTTTTTGTTAGTTCAATTACTTGAAATAATGTCGACAATAAATAGAGAAACGGATTAACTAACTACTTACATTTAAAGTTATTAGAAATATATGAAGCAGAAGAACGTTTTATACAGTTGTAAGTAGCATTTGTGAACAATATTTCATAGAATATTTTCATTTAAAATTGATAACCATTAAACAATACAGCTGATACAAAATCCATCAATTACCCTGATTCTGATATTTTATAGTCTACTGTATTAACTAATGTGGTTAAGGTTTCGTGTTAGAAAACGGAAGTTGGTTAATCGGCATAAAAATAAATCTCTTCCCAAATTAAACATTTCTCTGATTGTTGTAACGATGCACTGATAAATGACAACTTCTGTTTAACTTAAAAATGAGTTATCTGAAATAATCATAAAAAATATACAATTTTACGACAACACATGTTACAATACCACTGCAAGCACATAATAGTTTAGCATAAGGGTATGTAGAAATAACCTCGTTTGTAGATAATGAGGCTCCGAGTCAAAACAATTACATATAATTACCAATAAAATTTTATTCAGTTTAACAATTGAGTAGCGATTATGCTTAGTAAAGTGATACATATACCTTAGACTAAATACGTTTTATCGTACTAACTTCGATGGGGGTTTTCCTTGTCACGCACCTGTTACAGAAAGTACATGTTGTCCGTAGATGAAAGTCGATAAAATCAGTTCAAGACACTGGATGGTTGCTTTCTACTTGAACAGTGAATTGACTTATTTGCTTTTTTCCCTTAAAATGTTTTCTTGTCAACCAACTTAATTGATTTTCTGTAGAAACATGTTTAAATTTACGTTTATTACTTAAGGGAAAACATCGGATTTACTCACACGACTGATCATCCTCATTCAACATGTGAGAGGCTGTAACGTGTAAATATCATTTGTCCTACCAGTGAAGAGCACTGCTTGTACAAATGTACAACATTAAAGCAATACATCTTAATGGATGGAGCAGGAATAAAGAACAACAAAGGAAGATAAACCCAGCACTAGAACTAAAAGCAGGAGATCCACTGGCTTGTCATAAAAGGTAGACTGCCTGTGGCTAAAACTGACCTTAAATACTGAAAGTCCAAATTCAAATATAATGCTTGGTGACTTCTAATTTGTGTTTAATTACAAATAAACAAATTATTACTAATAGATAAGGGTTTGTTTTCCATATGATAATCGATATAAACAAACGTATCAGGATCATGTATGAAACAGTTTTAAATTAACTGATGATGCTAACTACGATATTGAAAAAGAAAACAATTTAAAATTGCTGAAGAGAGAACTGATGTTAATGATGCTATTAATTTGTCTTTAATGGTAGACCCTATTCATAACAAAACTATAGTCAATGACAAGACAGGCAATATAGCAATTGAGTTTAATTTATCCTATTTTTGTTTATTAACATTCTACTACACTGTGCACCTGTGCTATTATGTAGGGTTGATGCAAATGTCCCAACCCTCTATCTTGTTTGCATTGTTTTTGAAGGATTGATATTAGCCATCCCTACATTTAACTCATTGTTTTAAAAGTTTTTCTTTACTTGTCTATTATTGGCCGGTAATTCTTCTTTCATCCTGTACTTAAGCTTTTTAAATAATAATATAATTGCGTAGGCGAGGAAGTAACAAAATGCAAAATAGAATACAAAGTAATGGTGAAAAACTCGCCAAATTAAGATAATGTTATTAATAAATCAATTTTCATCAGGTTACCAGTGACAATGAAACTGTTAATATAAGCTTTTTAAAGGAACACCAAATTTTTGAAAAAATGATAACTTCGAGGGGTAATGAGAACATCATTTACACTAGAATTGTGATTTTATTTAATTACTACTATTTATTAATAATACTTATAAAAGCGGATACTCCGTTTGAAACTATGTCACCTCATTGTTTTGTTTTTTGAGTTATCATATTATAAAACAGAAGCAGAAGAACGAATAAAAAGAAATTCAAACATTTCGTTATGATATTTACAGACATTCCTAGAACTTGTGACTAAATCATTACATAGATATTGTTTATAAAATATTGTGTAGCACTGAGTACTGATGACCTTTGAGGAAAATTTAAAATACTATTTCCTGAACAATTCGAGCCATCCCTACATAGGCAGTGCTACTGCTTGTCTGATAATAGATTACCTCTGGCTCCCACATGAATTACTATAGTAACATTCGAATCACCTTCTGTCTTGGTAACGATGATAGTTTAATCTAGAAGCCTTCAAACTCTATTCATTTATTATACTCTACTCATTAAGCATCAAGAGATAGATACTCAATGGCAAAATTCGAACAAATTGAGAATCTTTAGCTAAAAATATAATTAGTCATGATAAAGATCCATGCTATTATTAGTACAGCTCAACATCCACTCAGAGGAAACCCAAATCTCTCGTTGCTTGTATAACTTACACAACTGCTTAAAAAATTTTGCATAAATTAAGTATGATGTAGAAATGGTAATATCAAAAATTAGACAAACAACTTAGGGACGAATAAATAAAACCAAAAATTCCTACATAAGTAGCCAGTAAGTACCGAGTGTATCTTACAAGCTTATGGTTATTAGCCACTGTAAAACTGTATAGCACTTCTTCTTCTGTAGCTTTTCCCGTATCTATACGGGGTCGCTATTTTTGACAGCACGTTTCCACTCTTCTCGGTCTTCGTATTCGTCCACAACAAGGCCTTTCTCTCTAATATCTCCATCCACGCAATCCTTCCATCTTCTCCTTGGCCTTCCTCTCTTCCTTCTCTCCTCCACCTCCATATCCAAAACCCTCTTGCCTATATAATCATCTTCCCTCCTCAGCACGTGCCCATACCACTGCAATCTT